CTCAGTACATGCTTGATTTGTACAACGCGGTAGCCGACGTGGACGGTGTGACCAAGGATCCGCATCTTCTGGAGGGGAATACCGTGCGCAGCTTCTTTGATAAATGTAAGATCTGATGTGTCCCCGCATGCGTGCCAGGATGGCTGCTTTGGAAGACACTCTGATTTGAGCCCTAATCCTCTCATTTCTATTGCAGTGTACAGTGATCAGGTGGAGTTCAGCTTCAATTTGTCAATGGTCGCAAGAACAGAGAAGATTCTTGCTGCAGAGCTCCATCTTTATAAGCTGAGACCTCAGGCACCCTTGACGTTCAACAGACATCACTTCAGCCAGGTATGTAGACCAGCTCTAGACCAGTATTTAAACCCGAGTGGCTGAATGGCTGTTTCTAATTCTATCTACATTAATTTGGCTCTTTCAGGTCAGTGTTTATCAGCTGTTTGACACCAGCAAAACCAATTTTACGCAGAAGAAGCTGCTTTCCTCTCGACTTATCCCAGTGCACTCCTCTGGTTGGGAAGTCTTCACAATCACACATGCAGTAAGTATCACCACCTCTTTAAAGCCCACAAAGATCTGCTTTGAACTACACTGGACAGTGTAGAGTGCTGAAATAAACTTATGACCTTCTTCCTGAAGGTGCGCTCCTGGATGGTTGATGAGGGCACAAACCTGGGACTTCAAGTGGTGGTTCGGACACTGGGAGGGAGCCAAATGGATAAAAAACTGATCCGCTTTGCCTCAGGGCGCCACCACCATCACAGCAAACAGCCCATGCTGGTTCTCTTTACTGATGATGGCCGCTACTCTAATCCTCTTGAGAGCAAAGGTGAGATTTCTACTTTAATGTCAGTTACTCCCAGTGATATTAATATTAAGTGAAGATAGTAGCCGTGTGGATAAGATTTACAGTGGTTAAAGGGAAACCAGCCTCCAGTCTCTATATTCATAAGCACAACAGCCTTAGTTTTAGTTTTAATGGACGACTGAACTAAATGTCCACTGAGGTCAGTGCTGAATATATTTCCATCCACATGTGCAACCATTATTTAGCATGCTTATGAAGGAAACACTCACGTACAACTGGCCTGTGACTGACTGGGAGTATGCTTACAATTCAACAACTTGATGAAAAATGAAGCTCTCAGTGTTTTGTGTGTCCCACTTAAGGGCTTTAGATGTTATATTTCTTTGCACTCTACATTCAAACTTCTACTTCTGCTTGTGTGTCACTGCTTCCTCTTCTGTTTATGGAATGTACTTCGTAACAGTTCAAAAATTGCATTTTTAAAACGGTGGATTTCTTTCTCCAGATTCAGATGATACAGCAGAAACGTCCAACCTGCCCCAGACTCCCATGTCCGGTCCACCTTCCCGTAGCGCTCGATCTCTGGGCTACGATGCAGACGGTGCAGCCACGCACTGCCAGCGGTTTCCCCTAAATGTAGACTTCGAGGAGATCGGCTGGTCGGGCTGGATCGTATCACCAAAGGGTTACAACGCTTACTATTGCAAAGGCTCCTGCCCCTTTCCTCTGGGTCAGACCATGAAACCAACCAACCACGCCACTGTCCAGTCCATCATCAATGCCTTGAAGCTGGTGAAAGGCATTGAGACGCCGTGCTGTGTGCCAGACAAGCTCTTTTCCATCAACTTGCTCTTCTTTGATGATGATGAGAATGTGGTTTTAAAACAGTATAATGACATGGTGGCTGGAAGCTGTGGGTGCCACTAACATTAACTAGTCACTGGTATCGGGCTGCGAAGATTAAAAACTGTAAACATTGTAAACAGAGCTTGGTCAGCTGACCCTGGAAACTATTATGTGGCCAGTCCTACATGTGACACTGTAGTATATGTAAATAATGATAAATTATAATATATGAAAGTAATTGAAATGATATTAAATAATCAAAGGAATGTTAAATAAATTTGTAAATCTGTATTTTTCTGTATTTTATCTGTATTTTTTATGTTTTGTGTTGGGATATATATTGTAAATATTGTAAATGAAAGTCTTGTTTATTGGCCCTTGCATCAGTTTGTTGCATCATTTGTGAGGCTTTACAAAGCTTCACAATTCTTTTGAGACCCAACCACCAAAAAACAAAAAATCTAACAAACGAAATATGAAAAACAAAACAGGCTTTTAATCTTTTTGTAAAGTATAAAGTTAACTTGTAGACCTGCTATGATTACAATGCCCCCCATGTTTTCCAGCTCTGTGGACTTTTGTAAGTTTTCGAAAATCTGTATTAAAGCTCATCTTTTGCCTTTTAGAAGTGTTTCTGTGGGTCCTCTTTTTGAGAAAAGTAATCTCATAATGTTGTGCTAGATCAGGCTCATCAGAATTCAGTATCTCTAAATAGTTTAAGCTACGGTTGCATTATCATGTATACATGGATGCATGTAATACATTTTTTTTATGTCACTATTACACCACTTGCAATATTACTGTATATGTAATGACAGTGAAGGCATCTTATCTTATGTCATTCATCTGCACTGAGTATATTCAACTTTATAAACAAGAGGCTTCCACTAGCCCACTGGACATCTTCCTTTTCACCTCTAGAGGGCACTGATGTCCAAAGGGGTTTCCCTTTGGGTCCAGTGAGCACAATCATGATTGTTTATAGTGTAGTAGCAAAAGGCCATCCTCCTACAAACCATCCTCTTAAAAAAAGACATTCCTAAAGATGCTCAGGAAATAGGAGGATTAGAAAAAAGACAGGATATTCTGGACTATAAATAGAGAGTCCTTTAAAGATGCCCCATCAGTACAGTAAGGTATGTGTTCAGCTGTAAGATGGCACAGCTCTCTGTGACCTCCTATAAAACGCAACACAAGCTAAAGTCAAAGTGTTAGGAAGCTTTCTAAGAAATAGACTGATGTAATGTCTTTGTTCATTTAATGTCTTATAACAGCTCATAGGTGTTTATGCTGTGCGTCATAAGCATTGGTGTCTGACCTAAATTATGATGTGGTGAATCATGTGGTATGGAAGGCAAAAAACACAATATTTTCTATAATGGAAGCATCATTGAAATTGTTCTTTGGGGTCTCTAACGGGACCAAAGAATCTCAGGTTGTTGGAGATAGATGTGGATTTTTCAAAATAAAATATATGACCCAAAAGGTTTAGCCTTTATTGAGCCTTTATTTTTATGACTGCAATCACTGGTTGTTCTGGTAAGTTTCATCCTTATTACTCATCCTACCTGGAATAGAGTGAGGTAAAGTTGATGCTGTACACCTGCTATTATAAATCATAATTGCAGGATCAAAGGGAAGTTTTATGTCTGTGCCTCAAGGTGTTTCTGAACTCATTTTGTGTGCACACAAGTCAACACAAGTTCAGTTTTAAGTGAGCTCTGGAACACTTAAAACCTAAAACACTTCAAAACTTGCTTATATATCTATATCTATATCTATAGATAAGATAAGATAAGATAAGATAAGATAACCTTTATTAGTCCCACACGTGGGAAATTTGTTTTGTCACAGCAGGAAGTGGACAGTGCAAAAGTTATGAGGCAAAAATTAGAATACAATAAGAATAAATACAGTACACAGCTGTACAGAATAGAATAAAATAAAATACTATATACAGTAGAATAAAATAAAATAAATATACAATAAGATAAAAATAGAATACAAATACAAATACTATATACAACTGAGTAAAAATACAACGATGACAGAAAGGATTATTGCACTTAGTATTATTGCATATGTATGGATGTGTGTGCTTGATCAGTTAAAGTCTTTATTATGGAGTCTGACAGCAGTGGGGAGGAAAGACCTGCGAAATCTCTCCGTCCCACACCGTGGGTGCCGCAGTCTCCCACTGAAGGAGCTGCTCAGTGCTGTCACAGTCTGCTGCATGGGGTGGGAGATGTTGTCCATCAGGGATGACAGCTTAGCCGCCGTTCTCCTGTCACTCACCACCTCCACTGGGTCCAGAGGGCATCCTAGAACAGAGCTGGCCCTTCGGATCACCCTGTTCAGTCTCTTCCTGTCCCCAGCAGAGATGCTGCCGCCCCAGCAGACCACGCCATAAAAGATAGCAGAAGCCACAACAGAGTCATAGAATTTCTTCAGGAGTGGGCCCTCCACTCCAAACGACCTGAGTCTCCGCAGCAGGTACAGCCTGCTCTGCCCTTTCCTGTAGAGGGCGTCTGAGTTATGAGTCCAGTCCAGTCTATTGTTCAGATGAACACCAAGGTACCTGTAGCTGTCCACAGCCTCAATGTCCATACCTTGGATGTTCAGTGGTTGCAGTGGAGAATGCTTGTGCCTGCGGAAGTCTACCACCAGATAGATAGATAGATAGATAGATAGATAGATAGACAGACAGACAGACAGACAGACAGACAGACAGACAGACAGACAGATAGATAGATAGATAGATAGATAGATAGATAGATAGATAGATAGATAGATAGATAGATAGATAGATAGATCGACAGACAGACAGACAGACAGACAGACAGATAGATAGATAGATAGATAGATAGATAGATAGATAGACAGATAGATAGATAGATAGATAGATAGATAGATAGATAGATAGATAGATAGATAGATAGATAGATATACACTCACAACAATTAAGTTCTCAACTGAAACAAAACTTGTCTCACATCAAAAACTCTATTTGCCCACTACAAAACCCTGTCTCTAAAGAGTGTAACCTGAGTGGCGAACAAGGCGTTGGCCATAGTGTGCCACCAAAGGGGGTTGATACCACTTGGCATGATGCTGGACGACAGCCCTTATTCACTGTCAAAGGGGTTTCTATTCACAACGGAGAAAACGATGAAATGCCTCCATTATAGTAGGGACCAAAGGGCCCCAGTGCAGCCAGACACCTGATCTCCTCTTTGGCTCTGGCTTCCCTTTGTCAGAGTATTTCATAACTAGCATACCCACTTTAAAAAAGGACTTGATGCCGGAGCAGCGATGGACCTGAGACTCTGTGTTTCTGCACTCAGACATGGGAAATAAACAAACCATCTTTACGGCACAGCAGCTAGATGCCTATCAGGTTGGTATCACTCATGTTTCTTTATCAATTAATTGATAAGGCTCACTCAGAATGAATGGAGCTACCATTATCAGTATTAGCTTAACATCTACGAACAAGATTAATCAGACCTCTTCATACTTTTTATTAGCCAAAAAGAAAGGGATCCAGTCCCATGTGGTGCAGCACTTCCTGACATTCAGAGTCAGTGTTTTCCTGATATTGTGTGATGACTGGATTTGCTTTTGACTTGCATCATTTTGATGAAAAGAAAACTCTCAGAAGTAATTTGAGGTGCAAAGTTAGAGATGTCATATGGTAAATAAATGGTAAATGGCAAGTAAGGCATTTATAAATAAAGTTTTTCATTTGATTTTTGGTGCTAATGTAATGGAGAAATGTTGGAGAAACATTAATATTTACACAAAAATAATTGCCATTTAAAAAAAATTATTAAATTTCACTGCTTTGATCCACCGCAACATCACCACAACATGCTGATACATGATAATAATAATCGTAATAGACAGACAGAGATCATTTTGCCTGTTTTGCAAGCAATTCATAATTTGTTTCCAAAAACTGCATGTTTACTTCTCTACTTTACCAATATTGTGTAAAAATAAGTGTCTTTTATTGATGTATTGCTATTACTGAGTAAAGATTATACACATCACTGTATGCAAACAGCTCACATTGAATTTAAATTGCATTTACAGGACTGTACATATTTCACAAGAAAGGAAATTCTGAGGTGAGCCTACATTACTTCAGTTATTTTGTTTATACTTCCTGCTTTATGACATCCCTCCAGTGCAGAAAAGATCAAACTAAACATGGACTCAGGATAAGTTGTGTCAGATCTCATTAATTTCCTGAGTCATTGCTTATGTAGCATGCTTGACAGAGCTGAATTTTGTTCTATTCTGCACAATACCATACTGTAACTCTAAACTAGACTATCAGGACACCTGTCTTGATGTGGGGCAGACTGCCACTGAGATCACAGGCTATTTTTATTGTGCTGGAAAGTGTATAAGTTGAATGTTTTCTGTTTTCAAAATAGTGTCCGTAGCTGAAAAGCAAGTTCTTAACTTAACTTTTCCTTTCTAACTTTTCCTTGTCCCTTTAAAGTGTAACTCTACATATTATAGGACATATCTTGTAATTCAATATTGATAGTAAATTTTTTAAACCTTTCCTAGACTCTTCCACCGCTATCGGGATTTGGCACCGCAGCTCGTTCCTCTTGACTACACCAACCACCCAGATGTGAAGTTACCATATGAGCTGATTGGCAGCATGCCAGAGCTGAAGGTAGTCCCGCTGCACTGGTCCGCACACGCCCTGCAGACCCGCGCTCTCTCCCTGTGTTCCCAATCCATAATTAATGACCAATTAATCGACAGAATTCTTTGAGCGGTTATATGTTACCTGACTCCTTTAAACTTGAAGGATGTTGGTGGGTCCCAGAGGACACACTTGGTGGAAATAGGTCAATTATATGCCTCTTTACTCAGTGACAGCAAGGTAAACAGGTGTGTTAACAAGCTGGTCACTGACATGCCCCAAGAAAGGGAGAGTGAGCCGGTCACGATCAGGGTCACGCCCGAGGTTGCCACTTTTTCCAAGCTGTTTTTATTACTAAAGATAATTTTATGACTTTATTGGATTTCAAATAGAAAAACAAAACTGAAGTAAAATCACAAACAGCACAATTTTGTTAGAACAGGACTAAACTGCATCACATCGAACAGGCAGAAGTTAGTTGTGCTGAACATTTGTGTGTTCATGCTTTGACTGTTTGTTTAGGACAACCCGTTTCGACAGAGGATCGCTGAGGTTTTCTCTGAGGATGGCGAGGGAAACATGACACTGGACGACTTCTTGGACATGTTTTCTGTCCTCAGTGAGATGGCTCCACGGGACCTCAAGGCCTACTATGCTTTCAAAATTTATGGTAAAATCTTCATAAATCAAGGATGCTTGTCATTGTTTTTGTTTTTTCTTTAAAACCAATGTTAATTCCAACCAATTTTTACATTTTTGCAGTTTCACAAATCATACTGTGCATACTTTACTACACACGGTACATAACAAAGTATGTGAATAACCCTTCCTACTGCCACTGCAAGCTGAAAAAATACATTTAAATGTTAACATTTTACACCAAATAAGGAGATATTTCAACTTAAATGCACTGTTTACATCTGTTTGCAAAAGGCAATCATGGAAACAAAATTGCTATACGTTAAACTGCAGAAAACAGCATTGACTTAAGCTCATTATTAGTTAGAATAAGGGCAAATTTAATGTTAGAGCCATGCAGATATACCGCTGGATTTTCTGCACCTGATTTGAGTTGTGAAAGAGGATGTTTGGTTTCCAACATCCCAGACAGAAGAGTGGGCGTTAAACACATCTTGAAACTTGCAGCATTTAAAGAAGCGGTTTGTCAGTAAAACTAAACTGATTATTGTGCAAAAAATGTACGATGAAATCATCAGCAGTAATATATATTCATCCTGAAGGGTTATGGATCGGTAAACACAGCAGATGGGGAATGGAAAGTTTAGGATCATATACCAGCTCGTCAAAGCCTCGGTTAAAAAAAAAAGACAGCTGACAACTTGTGAAACTACACACGAGAACTTTTCATTCCTTATTCAGACTAACAAGGGTGACGTAGTTACACTATAATGAAAAGGATAAGAAAAAACAGCCTGCTTTTCTTCATTAAATTAATCATACACTAAATATTTCAGCCACATTAACAAAATATAAGGTGAAAAAAAAAAGTTGTTAGCTTTAGTTCCACATTTGTCCAAAACAATATATTAAAAACTGTCTTTTGTCCAACCAGATTAGTCTAAAACATGTTCAATTTACAGCCAACAAAGACACAAAAAGGCTTAAGTTGAATAATTCATTAACTGATGTATTATTTGACCTGTTGATATTTTTTTATTTATTTATTTTTTCTGTAAGATTTCAACAACGATGACTTCATCTGCAAGTCAGACCTGGAGAAGACGCTGAACAAGCTGACTCGTAACGAGCTGACAGAAGACGAGGTGAGGATGGTGTGCGAGAAGGTGATCGATGAGGCCGACCTGGACAATGATGGCCGTCTGTCACTCGAAGATTTTCAGCACATGATTGTTAGAGCTCCGGACTTCCTCAGGTAAACCAGCAGTAAACATTTACAATAACATGTAAACCCATCAACAAGGACTAGATGTGTTATTTGGTTATAACTATTGACTCTAATATAGAATATTGTCCTTTTGCTGACTTTCGTAATGAGAAGTGCTTTCTGTTCACAGCACTTTTCATATAAGGATATAAGCAAATGAAGCAATTCTCTACATTTGCTACCTGGAATAGCCCCAAAGGATGGACTGGAAATACTTCAGAATGAAATCCTGTCATCTTCACATCTTCATCATTTTTTTTTTAATGTAAAAATAAATAAAATGACCAAAATCATTGTTCTGGCATTCTTTAAGGAGTCCATGTCCAGTTTTTCTCTTACAGAAACAACAACAGTCATGCTGTGACTGCAGATCTTTCATCAGGTGGAGGCTTCGGCCAATCCCTCAAGACAAGGCTCATTAGCTATGATTATCAACAGTGGATTTGTGTCTTGTATCAAAAGGGGTTCAGTTACACTGGACAATAAACAATAAACACGCCAGAATATTCCAGTGAGCCAATAATAGGAGAGCCATTTGTCATGAAAGCAGTCAGTGGGTAAACTGATAGTTTCCTGTGACATCCAGCCAATAAAGCCACTGAATTGAAACGCACAAGGTTAGTTTTATAACCTTATTTTATTAAATCAAAAGTTCACATATCTACAAAATTGTAGATACATTTTATATGGGTTTAGAAAGTACAGTACAATTTAAGCAGACCTACTTTTTAGTGATATTTACAATGTTTTGTTGATTTTTCCTATTATTGTCCCTGTGTACTTCACACTAATGGAATAAAATATGGCTGTAAAAAGGGAAACATTTCAAGAAAACAAAAGATATGACTTAAAAACAAAATCAAAGAGGAAGTATCATATTTCAGAAAAAAATTATACAGCTCGAGTCCCATAAAAGTTTGCTCCCTATGTTTCTGTTTATGACTTAAAGCTCGAACAAAACGGTGCCGTCTTCACAGTTCGACACCCGCTCTCTTCCCGCTCAACAGTACCCCGCTGTGCTAAGTTTCACCTGCACTGATGCACCAATGCAGCTTTAAATAAACAGAGCGTGTCCTCTCTTTTTGGCTCAGTGACTGACACAAAACAAAAATAACAAAAAGCCCATACATTCAACCGTACAGCTCTGTAGGTATGTCTGAAAAAAAAGTACATTACACACACGCACAGGTCCGAGATTCACAATGCATAGCTCCCCTATGACAGAATAGATTACTAGTGGTTAAGACAAATGGCCATGGTATTCATGAGGTCCCAAATTATTTGATATTACAAAAGGTGCATGAAACATATTGTCCCTCAATACTGTGCATGTAGGAACTTGATTTTAAGACTGACATAAACATAGAAACAATGGAAACAGACTGAGAATCCACATCTAAGTTCAACACAGGTGGAGTGTACATAATTGCATCACACTCCCCAGATTAGCTGTCTCTAATAAAATACTGATTCATATTTGAAGTTTGGCAGTTACCTAAGATGCACCGTGTGCTTCTGGCGCCACCTAGCTGTCAGATCTAATGTCCACAATGGGGAAAAACAAACCTGTAAAAGGATCCAGAATACCCCAAACAGGGCCATCTTTAGCTTAATTCAAGCCATCTCTATGTAAACTCATAAAATATTACTTTTAAATTACGGGTTGGCAAGCACAGTAGTATAAAAAAAAGAGAGGCTGAAAGACTTATCTTTTACACGCAGATATATGCTGAAATAACTCAGTCTGAGGAAGGAAACGTTTTTAAGAGAACTAATAACAGGGCAGTGGACTGCTAGCTGTGAACTACCAGAGGAGATCAAGTCCTTTGGGTGTTGTAAAGTGTTGGTAATATATGTCCTTTATATTACCAAGACTCAAAAGGAGCAAAAGAAATTTATAGCTGTACTGTATTGCAAAACTATCACTTGGCACAGACTACACACAAACCACAATTTACTGGTAAAGTGCAAGGAGAGCTGCATGACAGCAGGGAAGGGGCAGAAGGGGCTTACAGTGTGAAACTTCAAGTGATTTTAACTGCTCATCAAACAACCAGAGACGTCATTCAGCTTAACTGCGACTAAGAGCTGACAGGAAAAATTCAGACATCAATCTATTTTAAAGAAGAGCTGAGGCGACAGACCAAAGGAGAGAAACAAACTTCAATAATAAATCGTTTAAAAAGTCATTTTTCAAGATAAATACCAATAAGTGCAGCATCTCAAATAAATGAGATTGCTGCTTTTCTGCCTCATGTGACAATAAACTGATTATTTTAGGACATCTTTAGTGGCTTCAAACAGGCTGTGATTTCAAACTATAAATTAAGGTCTCATTGTCACAGTAATCCTATTATTACAAATTTAAGACTGGTCATTTGCTACATCAAGAAATGTTCCTAAACAGAGTATTTGCATTTTCATCATTAGAATGACAAAAACCTAAACTGTAGTTTAAGATAATATATTCCTCTTCATCACTCACTGAAAGGAGGAGACTGCACCAATGGTGGAGTAATCATTTTCAGTCACAAAAAAATGATTGTCAAGGACAACAAGAGCAGTGCTCTCAGCTCATTCTGTCTGATCCTTGACTGACAGTGAAAAGGAAACCTGTACAGCTCTGTTTCACAGCATTTCAAGCTCATCAGCCTCTGGTTGAAATTTGTCACATAAAAAAAGGGACAGAGTGCTATTAAAAATAGATCTAAATATATCACATTTGTAATCCAGTCCACAAACTATTAATGACTTCTCATCCCTGGTTCTGCTACCGGTTGTGTGAATGAGTGAGTGAGGATAATGAAGAGACTAACTCTGGAGTAAGAGCCCATTCCTTTGTGTTAAATGGAACATCTGGATAATGCTCCTGGCTGAGTCCTCCAACCAGCAGAGCACCATGACTCATGAAGTCAACATTTATCCTTAAAATGGAAAAGATGAAACTCTGGAAGCTTTCAGAAGAGGAAGCAAGGAGGGGAAGTCCTCCATTTACTGACAATATAATGGCTTACGTGGGCTTTTAGGACTGACCATAGCTGGAGAGAAAGGGGGAGGAAGTGCTAAGAGCAAGAACAGTCTATTTATGTCCAGTCAGTATGAAAGGCCTCAGTCCTCAGAGTAGGCTACAGCGGAAGAAGCTGGTCTTTTTCTGAGGCTCTGAGATCTTTACGCCCTGACTGCTTCCTTGCGGTGTGTTGCCCTCCTGCAGCAAAAACAACAAAGAAAAACAAAAGACAAGTCAAAACACTGTCATCTGCTGCACAGTTTTCCACAAGCTGGAAAAACGCAAAAACATTCCATAAAGCGAGCCACAAGAGCTGCTGATCATTTTCCTCACAGTTTTATCCTTACCAATTTTGTGTCCATTTTTGATTTGATGTCTCTGGCCAGCATCAAAAACGCCTGTGAAACAGAAAAGCATGCTTTCAAAATTCTAATCTTCATCTACCGTAAATTCAACTCAAGAATTTAAGGCAGCTGGACCTAATAGTCACAAGGTTCAATTAGATTCAATTTTATTTATATAGTGCCAAACAGTAACAACAACAGTCGCCTCAAGGTGCTTATATTATAGGGTGAAGACTAGAGCTGGGCGATATGAGATTTTTTCATATCACGATATGTTTTTTTCATTTCAGGCGATAACGATATCTATCACGATATAAGCCAAATAACTATATTTGTAAGATTTAAATGTGCCGTTGCTCACAAGTAAAATGTGAAATAATCAGCAGCTTGTTTTTATTTAAATATTTATTTCCCATAATAAGTTCAACAGGGTAGATGTACTTAAGGAACATGAGACTTTTTCAGATAAATAAAGGCAAATATTGCAAACTACACAAAAGGCAGCCGCTAAAGCGTTTAAGTTTCAAAATAGAACAAACGAAACAGACTAAATTGTCAATTCCACTTAGAAGCAAAATATTAATTCTAAAAATAAATCTTAGTTAGTTTTACAGAAGAACAGACAAAACAGACTAACTTTTGTCAATATCAAATAAACTGAGAACTAAAAGGAAATTCTCAATCTCTCCTTGTTGTATAGCTTAGCTTTTCAAACAGTTTTAACAGTTACTTTAGTCTGACAAAAGCCGAATGACGAATTAGCGCTTCCAGTCAGAGACTGAGGCTACGTCCACACGTACACGGGTATTTTTGAAAACGGAGATTTTCCGTTTTCGTTTTAAAAAATAATCCCGTCCACACATAAAGGCAGAAATGAAGGAAAACGCTGCTATGAACATGCCAAAGCAGCAGGTGGCGCTAGATTCCTAACCGTGCAGAAATGTTGGCCAATCAGAAGTCTAGAAGCCTCGGTGGGAAAAAGTAAACAAAGCTGGGGCATAGAAGCAGAACCGAGTCGTATGTGTGGAGGGACAGTAACTGTGTGTATATGTAAGCATTTAAACACTGCAGAGAGTAGAATTAACAGTATTGTAGAAATTCATTTCACCGAAACAATAACGTGGTGCACAGTGTGATGCATGCACCAGTTTATTGTATTTGCAGACTTGCTTTCGGCACAATTTACAGTGCACGCTACTCTATTTTTTGTCAGACTTGAAATAGCCGAAATACCTTCACACTACGGAACTTCTATGGCTTTTCCGTTCGACAATCTCTCCGGCATTGGAACCATCATCTGTTTTCTCTTCGGTCACGCTCGGTTGATTTTTCTAGTCGGCGCACTCATTTCCTCCATTACGCGCTGGCTGCTTCCCAAACAAACACACGTGCGGCTTGGCACTTGTGCGGTACGTAACAAGTCACGCGACGTGACGCTGCGGCTGTGATTGGTTCGGCTCTGCGCTAATTAATTTGGATTGGCTGACCTTTTTTTTTTTTTTTTTTTTTTTTTAAGAGGACAAGAGCGGCGAGGTCTATCGCGATAGCTTAATTTCTCTATCGAGTAAAAGTTATATCGCGATACATATCGTTATCGTTCTATCGCCCAGCTCTGGTGAAGACACAAAAATAATAGAGAGAAACCCCAAAAAAATCAAACGACCTCTTTTGAGCAAGCACTTGCTAACAGTGGGAAGGAAAAACTCCCTTCTAACAGGAAGAAACCTCCAGCAGAAACAGGTCAGCGAGGGGCAGCCATTTGGCGCAACTGGCTTTGGGACGAAAAGTCCAGTTATCACCA